CATGTGGTTTCGGCCAATGGAAACCATGGCAACAAGGTTGTCAAAAAATGCACCGTACAGCATATCTGCATAGTATATTGCTACATGCGACATTTAAATTAACGCTATGTTGCAACTTGTCAATGCATCCTTCTAATGCAATGGGTGGTGGGTGCCAACTAGAAAGTAGGGAAATGGCCAAAGAATTGATATTGCGCTTCTTCCAAATGAATTTTCAAATTTTCTATATGTAAGTGCACATTCATATGTATGCATGTATGTATGTATGTCGACTATTCTGTAATAAGATGAACATAATAAATGCCTTTGGGGTTTCATTGAGTTCTTTTATTATTTTAATTTTGTTTTTTATGTTTTTTTTTTTTTTTTTGTTTTGTTTTTCGTTATAAATACATATACATATGTAGATACAAACGTAAAGAGCAATGTTTTTGTCACACATCATTGGCACACATCAATCTCTTAAGGTGAATATATGGGACATTTTTATGGATATGAATTTATTGCAGAAGCGTGTGCCGCAGCCAAGCCTCCAATGTTATACTGGCTGTGACTGTAAATTAGTCCAAAATGCACTTGAAATGTGCTGAGCAACTGTGTTGTTTTAATTTATATATGTAATTTAGTTTTAATTTTTTTAATTTAATTTTAAAAACAATTTTTCTTCCTCTTTTGGATAGGCAACGCGTAATGTTCCTCTAACTCTGCTTCTACCAGCGCGTATTGATTCATACGTAGGACATGACTTGGTACCTAGCCGCTGCCTCTTAATTCGGTGAATGAATGTCAAGTACTCTTCATCTATACGAAGTGGACGAATAAACCTTACTCTCGGAGACTCTCAAAGCCAGCTCGACGATTGTTTTAAACTTCCATGCTTTTGCTCTAAAAATTAGGTTGGGACCGAAGAGCAACTTGTCGAGTTTGGTCTTCGCTCGCCGAAAGAGAACTTTACTATTCAATCGCCTTCCCAATCCAGATTAGAATCTGTTGGCAAAAATGGTTTCGGGTTGTATTTTAAAGCTGATATTGCATTTAGTGTTAATCCTGGCTCCAATACAGTGACGTGGGAGCCAATATACGAAATGAATATACTGATTGTTTGTTTGATGACAGGAGCTATTTCATGCGTTCATCACTCACAGCTAAGTCCACTAGTCTCTTTTGCTAATCTAGTCTGGAAAAAACGAACTTCCGAAGCAGTGGTTATTAACATTATCATCATAGGCTAGTGGTTATAAGGCCTCATCGAAGATTATACCTTCTCTATTTAGTTTTGCAAGCTGGAAAGATAGTCGCCTTTGTAGTCTGATCTGTTATGTCTCGGAAAGGTTCTTTCCAAATTGTTAGTGTTGCTTAGTGTCATTTTACATAACTGTATAAGCCTTGAGGGATTACCAACCTCAGGCATAGGCGTAGAGGAAACTTGCTAAAGGCCTGAAAAAATACACAAAAAGTGATGGTGTCCTATAGAATTCCGCACAATACGCTCGCTAGGACTTTACACGCGGTTTTGAAGAGAGTAATTTCACGAGAATTGGCGCAGGTTATTTATTAAGCGGATAATCACTAATTAAAATTCATCTTACTCGAGTTTCACTGTGGCCTATCTCCTCAATCTATTCAGACTTACGCGTTTCAGCCTCTCTATCCCTCTTTTCTCGTTCACAAATAAGTATCGCTTGTGCTCGCACAGCACGTTGTTTTTCTCTCAATTGCGGTGCAACAATTATGAATCGTTACAAAAATCATTAGGCGATACCTCATTCCTCATCATATTAGCGCTTCCTTAGGCGATGCCGAACATCAATAATAAGAAGCTTGTAATGTTGCCCTATTGATCGTAAATAGCTGAAACTTGGAGAGTGCATTTGCGACTGACGTATGCATTTGATAAGAAAGGATTTTTCTGGAACTGTACTCGGGACCGATCTAGTTGTAGCTTTGGGCAGAAATTAACATGGAAACACTTTTTCTTTTGGGAAGTGAACCTGGTGCTAATCTGTTTGGGCTTACCTGGTGGAACATACAAGGCTTTCTTGATATCGTCTTAGCGGTCATCATCCGAAATTGCTGCCACAATCTGGAGTGACTGTATTGCTAACAGGCGATTTTCGGCAGAGTTCGTTCGTATAGGCCAAGGAAATGCGAACGGACGAAGCTAGAGCACGCCTGAAGCGATATCATTTTTGGCGTAAGGTGATAAAAGTGAGTCTAATCAATTATTTGAAAGTATATTTAATAGGATCTACATTGGAAACAATCTTGTTTTCGGGTGTGGAAGAGGTTATAGCGGCTGCGGTAGCCGTGTGGTTAGCATTGCGTACTGTAATTCGGATAAGCTGGGTTTAAATCTCAGTGCGACCACCATCTAAAAGTTATTGAAAATTAATTAAATAAATAAAAAATTCAGTAAAATTTTTTAATTGCGATCGCCCCACGACAGGGAATGCCAACCTATCCGAGTGTATTTCTTACGTTATATAACGCTCCTTATAAAAACCGTCGCCCGTTCGGAGGCGGCTTAGTATAAACTGTAGATCTCTTAATTTGTTGGAAACACATCAAGACGCAGAACGACATATTGGAGGAAGAGCTCGGCCAAAAAAATCGCTTCCGCAATTAGAAAGCAAAATCCCGTAGAAAAAGGCAAAGGCGCCATCGTAAATGAAATAATTTTATGATCATTCTAAGTGATCGGATAGCTGTATAAATCTGTCGAATCACCGATAAACACTCTCGGTACCATTCATTATTCAGTAGAGTTGCTTAATACGCTAAAGCCTCCACTGTTTCTCAACTCACATATTGAAGTCAATGGTTATAAATCCACAAAAGTGCTCAATAACACCAGCTTACAAGTGAAAGTATTGAAGCTAAGTGTACCCTAGGCTGCTCTACTAACATGTCTCCAATAAATTACCCTTTCGAATTTAGGAGAATGCAATAACCATAAACAGAGTTCAAGGTCAAAGTCTTAAGATAACAGGGGTAGGCTTAGAAAAATAGGTGTTCACATGACTAGTTGGTGATCCTGGTGATCCTATCACCCGATTATAAGAACAGATACATGATGATACAAATTGCTATATTTTACAATATCATCGGCGGTAGCCATGTGGATAGCTTTACGTACTGACATTCGGACGGCTCGGGTTATAATCCTCGTGCGACCAACATCCAAAATTTATAGAAAATTTTCTAATTGGGGTCGCCCCTCGAGCCCTCCGAGTGAATTTCTGACGTGAAATAAAGCTCCTTATTAAAAACCGTCAGTCGTTCGGAGGCGGCTTAATATAACAGCAGGTTGTTGTTGTTGTTGTTGTCGAAACCACAAAAATATTCCCCAAAGTCCTTTTTGGGGAATGTTGCGGGAGTGACAGTCTTTGGCCGGATAAAGATCAGGTTCGTTACGGTATAAAGACCCGACTGTCGCGGGAACTATTTGATTATAGTCGCCTCTTACGACAGGCATGCCTTACCGCGGGTAAATTCTTGAACCCCTACCACATGTATGTATGTATGTAACAACAAGACGCAAAACCACAAATTGGAGGAAGAGCTCGGCCAAAAATCGCTTCAGCGGTTACAAAGCGCCAATCATATATATTATATATGCAATATTAGGTCAAGTAAAAAGTTCGTTCGGTTTTTATCTAAGAGATGGCGTTATTGTCCATAGTACTGGTGTTACGTGTCGCATCATGTCATACTATACGGAGCTGAAAACGTGTTTATTCTTGCTAAAAGTTTGTCTTTGACAGTTTTTCGATTGATTGACTCAGTACGTTGTAAGCGCTCGTCAAAGATGGACACCAGAAGAGAGAAAAATCGCTGCATTTTACAATTTTTCTTCGATCAAGGCGAAAAGGCAGCCGAAGCAGCTAAAAGGCAGCCAAAGCGGCTGAAAAAATTAATTTAGTTTATGGGCCCGATACTGTAAACGAACGTGTAGCACAAAAGTGGTTTGCCAGGTTCCGTTCCGGTTGTCAAACATGCACCACGCGTCGGGAGGCCAGTCGTCGAAAATTGCGATAAAATCATGGAAATAGTGGAAACAGACCGTCACGTGAGCACTTATTTAATTGCTGATTAACTAAAGATTAATCAGATAAACCATTTGGAACCATTTGCATAACCTTGGATTCAAAAAGAAGCTCGATGTTTGGGTGCCACACGAACTAACGCAAAAAAGCCTCATGATCCGAATTTCCATCTGCGAATCGCTGCTGAATCGCAACAAAATCGACCCGTTTCTGAAGCGGATTATAACCTGCCGATGAAAAATGGGTCACTTTCGACAATAAAACCACCCTATGGCCAAACGCTCAATTCGGCCCTCTCTCTACCTATCTCACCTTCTTCGGTCTCCAAGGGTATTAGCCTTTCATTGCTCTTTATCTGAGTTTCCCTTAGTTAACTTTGCCTTGAACGTTTATCCACAACTTTTTCAAAATTGCCTCAGCTGCAAAGGAAAAAAGGGCGCATATAAAAGTCTCAAAAAAACTTACGTTGTTTTGGCATTCATGACATAATAACACACCTTGCACGCTCAACAATTATATAAAGTTTTCAATATTTGCAAAAAAATTATTTTTTATTCAATACTCGTACATACATACATGTATCTATAATTTTCAAATTTGCTACTACACCACCCTCACACGACATTTTCTTTAGCCAATTTATATTTTATATTAAATTATATGTCATAATGAAACTAAAGATATATTTATTTACATACCTACATATGCCCTACTGAATGCACATACTCGTATGTTTGTGTGTGCATGTGGAAGGGTAAGACAAATATCTTCAAACTTATACCAAGACATTGTATATGTATATGTGCAGCACGACTTTTAATATAAAAAATGCGCAAATTCGTGCAGGCGGACGTTGCAATAATATTTTCAAATTTTCAATTGCGTCGACGCGACAAAATCAAGCGAGCAGGTAGTGGCTGACCATTACCGTTAGCTATTAGAAATTGCCCATTAGCTGCGGGTTTGTAATGCAAATTGTTTTGCTGTGGAGAATAAACATAGTGTGTGCAGTTTTGCGGGAATCAAGCTAAAAATACCAGAACGAAATCGGAAAAAAATTGCCTGAGTTGGTGCCGAATCAAGTGCGTTCGCCATACAAAAAAAAAAAAAAAAACAAAATAAAATAAAATAAAATAAAATCTACGCCGATACCTCCAAATACCCGAAGGGGGGAAAGTATTTTTTATAAATAATTAATTCTCTTTCAATTTGTCAATAAATTCGAACCAAAGCGACAAACGAATTTTCAGTTAACGATTAGCAAAGCGGTTGTACAAACGTTCGTCGGAACGGACAGGCTACCGTTGTCTAGGAGACGCGAGTGATTTTTCAAATATAATCCTTGTGCCAGGATAATAGCGTAATAACAATTAAAAATAATTTAAACTAAAACTCTTTGTAGTGTCTCCTACACACACACACATACACACACACACGCAACTGTACATAAATCATATTTGAAAAATGGGTGATCCTATCAGTTTCTCCATCGAAGAAATGGAACAGGTACGAAGTGTAAAAGTATGCCATAAAATCGCAGCAAAAGAATACTTTCATTTCATCTTTTCATCTTTCATCTAAATAGCGACGCCGTCGTACCAGCGCTGCCCGCAAAGCTTCCGTTATACGTCCACCATCTCCACCAAAAATTGAATCGGAGGCCATGGCAGTAATCAATGAAATATTTAATCCAACATTTAAGAAACCTCAGACCCAAGGACATTATCGCGCGCCAGATGAAGTAACGGCTGATGATGTGGAAGCATTGAAGGATTTAGACATAAGCAAATTGGCCGAATTGAAAGAAGTAAAAAGTGAAATAAAAATTCTCAAAGAACATACATACATATGTAGATATAATGAAGTTTGGAAAATTGAATTCAATTCACTATCCATAGGTGTTTTTGTTGCTCGACTTGGATAGCGATGGTTTGATATCGAAGGATGATTTACGATTCACTTTTATGGCGCTCGGCTCTGACACGCCAGACGAGCTGATCGAGGATATGTTAAAAGAGGTGAATAACACAAATATATTACCTGAATTGTGCTTACAGTGGTTTCTGTGTGTTTGTTGGAAATAAAAACTGAAAAATGACATTCGAAAGTGAAATATTGAAAATGCATAAATACATTTTTTTTTGACTATAAATTATAAATGTTAAGTGCAGACGTGTAAATAAATATTGTATATATAAATTTTTGCATAGGCAAAGGATCCTTTGGATTACGAAGCTTTCATTGAGTTAATGAGCCATCGTACTGTTGAATTGGACCCAGAAGATGTGCTATTGGAGGCGTGGAGTAAGTGGGATGATTATGGCACAGGCAAAATTGAGGAGAAAAGGTAGGTGAAACCGTTATAATACTAATACTAATATCATAATATCGAGCATATAAATTTTACTGGCCGACCTCTTGGTAGGTGTTTGCGAATGAGTATTGCCTTTTTACGTATCAGGTATACACTGCTCGTGTTATATATAATTGGCGCTTCATACAGCAGTTATAGGCGAGCTGCTCGTTCAATTTGCGGTAAGCGCCTTGATGTTTTCCAACAACCTATAGTTTATTCCAGCCCGCCTCTGGACGACCGATGGATTTCTTTATGAGGAATTTTTTAAGTCATATCAGAAATACACTTGTAGGGCGTTACATTCCTTGTTGAGCCGTGACCGATACGAGAAAAATTTTTTGATATAAGGAATTAAGTAAACTACGAAGCTTGGTTGTTTGTATGAATTGAATATTTGTTATACAACAAAGAAAAATGGTAGAAGTGACAGCTGTTTCGGAGATCACCACATCTCCTCATCAGACTTCTTATGGCAGGGTTCGAACCAACGGATCCTGACTTAAGAGACGAGTGTTCTACCACTGCGCCAACATCAGCCATACAATCTATTGTTGTATTAGTCAATTCATTATTAACCAACAACTATTGAGTGCTCTAATTTAGCCGCTATTTTCTTAATTGAGTTGTTGGTAAGTTGCTTTGAAATCTTCTATACTTTCAGGCGTAAATTGATTGAAAATGTATAGGCCGGATTAAGTATCAGGTTTAACTTATATATTAATTAATTTTATATAATTTTGGATGTTGGTCGCACCAAGACTCGAACCCTTCAGAATGACACATCAACACAAAACTTGAGCCCTACATATATAGGTATACATCGAGACCAGACATTTTCCCGAAATGTTTTTACATTTTTCGATATTCGGTCAATAAAAAGTATTATTTGAACGTTTTGAAGCGTTTGCGCGAAATTAGCCGTCATAAACGGTCGCACTTGCGTGCGAAGAATTTCCGGAAACTTTCATGACGATAATGCGTCATCCTACACAACGATTTAAGGACCAAAAACTCGTTCAATACCATCGATCAACCACCGAATTCACAAGATTTTGCCCCATTCGACTATTTTTTGTTTTCCAAAACTCAAGTTACCGCAACGCTGAACCCGTGTCGACTCGATCGGGGCCGTAAAGTAGAATTCAGAGAGGGAACTGACATCGACTGATATTAATAGTTGCTGCTAAAAAACTCGTTTGAAAGATCGCACACACTAAGCACAGTGCTGCCAACTTAACAAAAAAAAATGATGAAGAAAATTTTGCGCGGGCAGTTTAAATGACAATTTCCGGAAAATTTGTAGTTCCATCTATGTTGGATAACTGAATAAGGAGTATAAGGACCGATATAGAGTTCATGTTAATTCTTTGTATTTAACTTAGATAACTTCGAAAACTTAGTTTCCAAGAGAAAGTACTTTTCTCAAAATAATAACTAAGTATTTTAAAATTATAATATAAATTCAGTTTTGAAAATTTTAGAAATAGAACTTGATCCATTACTGTGAAGCTTGTTTATTGACTTCTTCTAAATGTCTCATAACTGCAAGAGTCGAGTGGCGGCCGCAAGAGCAGGGAAGTTAGACACCCTCACCGAAAGTCGGAAGGCCATGATTCCTAAGTCCTTCGTCCAAGTTCTTCATAAAAATCCATCTGCCGTTTGGAGGTGACTTAGAATAATCTGTAGTTGCTTTCACGCAGCAAGCGGTTTTACTTGTTGCATTGACCAAGGGGTAAGTCAAAAGGTTTGGAAGGTCACGCAGTTTTTTTTTAAATATTCTTTTGCTGCATTTTCGAATTCCATTTTTGATGACGGGTATACTTAGATCGCTGTGTATATTTTCATTACACATGTTCAATTGGATCTCTTGAATTATATCTATACTCGTCGTTGTGTCTTTAACTGGATTCCACACATTGATATCGACTTTATTGTCGCATTATGTGTAGAGGAGGGTTTATTGTTAAGGCTAAGTCCAGAATACTTGTTTATAGGTCATTGTAAACAGCAGATTTGAGTTTGAACTGCAGCTTTTTAGCGAAAATGTGTTGTCTCCGGGCTGAGCGCTTTTCTAAGTAGATTCTGTGGTGAGTAATTTTGTCAGCTTGCGGAATGGATACATAGTCGTCTTTGGCTTAAATCAGACACCACGAAATGGATAACCGTTCATCTACTTACTAAATTTGATGTATCTGCCTTAATACTCTAATTTTTACTTCGATTACTTAAATTGTGTACGAACCGAGTGCTGGTAATGTGGAATATCCATTTTATTTTCCTATGTAAAATCCAGGGTTTTGAAGCAGCATTAATGAAAATACAAATATTAAAAAATATTAAGTTTAGGTTGTGGAGATATCTTCTAAGTACTAACGTTACATCTGATGGTTTTTACTAGACAACTCATTGAGGATATTTTTTTTCGTCTTCTTAGTCCTCAGCACTTTGATTCCTTTTCTATTGCTACAGGTAATGTTTCTCCTCCCGCGTTGGGAATATTGAAGGTTTTGGAAGTCAAAACGATGCCTATTTTCCTTTTCTTAATGTTTGCTTAACTTTTTTTTTCATTTTATTTGCTTTGCACTTTCGTATTTAAACTTTTTACGGCATATTCGTGGGTGAGAGCACTACTGGCTATGCCAGCCATTTTAGAAGCCTTTGCATATACCACAATAACCGACATCAGAGTTGTCTACATTTTGCCGTTAGGAAATACTTAGCTTTTTGGAAAACATAGCATGCTTGTCACAACGCTAGGGGAGAAATTGTTCAACTGCTTGGATCGACTCCCTATTCTCTCAGGAGCTCGTTCAATGTATGGCTAAAATCTTAAGGCAATTATAATGTGCATTTTCCAAGGCTGCGGAGACCCCTTTCATCTGTATAAATATCATTTTCGCGTGGATGTTATATGGAATGTGGAGTACGAGCCACCTGTTGGGTTGTACTATGTAGTAATTTGAATATACATATGTACATATTTACCAGATTTCATTTTTCTTATCAAATAACATTTGATTTCTGCTAAAACTGATTTGTCAGCTTTTGCTAATCCTTCTCTTTTACGGAATTACAGAATGTTGGAAGAGCTTACCAATTACGGTGATGTTATGACGACCGCTGAGGCCAATGAAGCGCTAAAGTATGCACCCATAGCCAAAGCAAAGACACTCGAGGAGCCACCAATGATTGACTATCCAGCCTTTTGTCGTATCCTGTGCGGCTTGCGAAAGGGAAAACCGAGGACAGTGGACGAATGAAGGAATAAGAAGAAACGAACACAAATACATACATATCTATAACATTATTTATTACCGCTGCTGAACGACCCAATTGTGCATATGTACATATATATAATATTACATACATATGTAGAAATTCATATCAATAAGCTTACTTTAGCTATATACTTACATACATACATATACATATGTACATGTGTGTGCAGTTTTCAGATATTTTATTGTGAATACCGTGTAAAGTGACATTTTTATTGCACAAAAATTTTTTATTTCAATTTTTGTTCGAATTTTTTCTGTTTGAAAATATAATAAATCAAAAGTGGTTGGTACGAAGACACGCAGAATCAAATGCGCTGTGAGCGTTTAAACGGTTGGCATTTTTATTTTTAAACCACTACGGACAAAAGTATGCATGCATACACAGTTACCTACATATATACATACATATGTATGCACATACATACACACATTTATACGCCTCTACCAATGACTAATAAATTTCAAACTCAATTTCGTTTCATACATTTGCACGTTCACCGTTCACCACCGCCAATGCCATCCATGTTGGCTGCATTCACCGTTTGCTACGCTACAATTGTTGCCGCTAACACCAACGACACACATGCACTTACACATACATACATATGTACATATGTATGTACATGCATGCACATTCATCCATTACTGAACACTGAACATGTTTTCATGTTTCTCTCATCTACTCTTGCTGCGACCATCGTGTTTCCATGCTTCTGTTGGCTTTTTGGCGTACTTCCGTTATAATTTTCAGCTGCTCGGAGTATATTGAGATATTCCCGTTCCTACGGGAGCCCGTCATTGAGAACTCGACTAAGCCGGATTATGTTATTTGCAATCGGACCACTGTCACAGCGACCAGTGTGTCGGCATTAACAGTAACAGCTACTCGTACAGCGTCAGTAGCAACTTCGTTAGCTACTGATAGTTTTACAACAACAAAACCAATGAAAACAACATCACTCACAAATGAGGCAGTGGTCAATGAGAAATCGAATTCCGTTAAGGTTAGCACTGCATCGTCTATGGCTACACCGGCAGCGAGTATCAAGAAAGCAATGATAGCAAAGAGTAGCGCTGCCAACCATTCTCATTTAACGGTTTTTACTACAAATAATTCTGCTGCCGACGTTGCTGTCGGTGATTTACGTAGCAGCGATGAGTTTATTTATAGTGCAGGCAAAATTTTCGGCATTCGTATACGTTTCAAACAGCAGCACCAGCAGCAGCAACAACAACAACAGCATCAAGGGGATGTCCTCAATTGGCCGCTCAACATAACCGGAGAATATCGATTCCTGAAGAAAGGTATACAAGTTACGCACACATATGCATGTACACATATTAATATTAATTGCCTGTATATATATTTATGTTTATATATAAATATATACATATACACACATATTTTTCTATAATTATTTATAAATATTTTATTGATTAATTATTGATTAACATTGCACTGCTGAAACCAATTACAATTAAATATTTATTAATTTCACTTTTAAATTTGGCCGTGGATAGGAACCAAATATATTGTATGTATGTACTTACATACATTCATGGATATATATTGGATCAGGGTTGTCATTATTATTGGTTTTAATATTGATTCCTAGATAGACGAAATTGTCTACGACCCCGAAGTTGTGACTATCAACAGTGACGTGAGAGCCGAGTCGCGAGAGCAATGACTGTTTGTTTGATGACAGGAGATATTTCGTCTTGCCCTCATTCACAACCAGACCCATTCGTTTCGCTTCTTTATCAAGTCTAGAATAGAAGAACTGACGGCGCGGTTGTTGAGGCCAATAATATCAGTATCATCTGCATACGTCAGCAGTGGTACACTTTGGTACACTTGTTTATTAAGCTCTACAGCACCTATAATTTTTTTCAGCATCAAATGGAAGCAATCGCTTGGTCTGGAACCCCGTTTCGCACCAAACGTCTCGGGGAGACACTTCCCAATTCTGACTGCGCTACCGGTGATGAGTAGCGTCAATTCAACTATACTGTTCTGTCGAAGGCAGCTTAAAAATCGATAAAAAAAAGTGTTGTGTATATCAATACTCCTTCGCCAAGCAAAGTGCTCATATCGTGGCTTGTGCAGCGCTCATAAGTATGCTCGAGGCGCTCGTAAACGGCGTCCTAGATCACATCGTCCTTCTTTTCCATCGGCTTTCGGATTCTCTCTTCCACTACAAATCCAATACTAAATATGCGCTTCTTTATATGGGAGCTGTAGTAAATTTCACAAAGATCCAACTTCTTCTGTCCTTGATCCGTTTCTCGTAATTCTAGGACGGCGGTGATGTCAGACTTTAATTGTACTAGGACCAGCACCTTTCCCATTAAGGAGCCGGACATTCGAGGCGATTTTTAAAACGTTTGCTAGGGTCGTCATCAAAAGGGAGTCTCTCATCCTAGGCTTGCTTTGACTACTCATTGAAGTTTATTTTTCATGTGATGGATCTCAAACCCTACGCTCAACCGAAGGGAAAATCGCTTTTTCATTTTATGTTGCCTCCAAACGGTGTAAGATTGGAATTTGTGAGCTGCTTGAATCATATCTGTTTACTTCCAGGTGAATGATCGCATTCTTCTGTACAAAGCAATAGTAAACGAAAACTAAAAAGCAAAAAATAATAAATTTTCTAAATTAGCGCACTTAATAGTTATTGGTTAATAATGATTTGAATAATACAACAACATATTATATGGCTGATGTTGACGCATTGGTAGAGCACTCGCCGGTTAAGTCAGGATCCGTTGGTTTTATCCCTGCCATAAAAGTCTGAAGAGGAGATGGGTCTCTATTCATTAATTTTCAATTGCCGACTCAAATCCAAGTTGTTGTTGTCGTTCCGTTGTTGTTGTCTTGACGGAAATATTATTCCACAAATTGGTTTCGGGAAATATTGCGGGCGTGAGAATCTTTGGCAGATAAAAATCCGTGTCGGTCCGCCTGTCGTGGCAACTATCGGACATGCTGGCCTTACCGCGGGTATTTTTTGGGTTTCCTCACCCGCAGCCGTACTCTTTGGCAATATCTTATTTTGTGATGCAACTATCAAGGTTAATGTTCAATCGAGACCTTTTTGTTTCACGAATTTCAAAAATATATTAATCTTTGAGTGATTTTTTGGAATGATTTAATTTGAGTTGGAAATCTTTGTGTATATTTATTTTTTGTTAAACTGCGTACTCTCTCAATCATCTTATTCGTTAGTGGCTTAATTTACTTTAGTAATCATTTTAATGAAAACCATTATTCAGAATATTTTCAAAATGACGGACGTCTAATACCCGGATCATATTGTGACTACTACTTTTTTGCTGATGCCAATGCCAAGCCGCAAACCTTTGAAATCTGGCAGTATTTCCATTCACCACGCTTTCCAGCTAAATATCCAGCGCACATTAAATGTGCCTACAAATTTATTGGCAGGTAAGGGAAAAATATACCAATGTTACAAAATATTCACGCATTTAAGACAGTTTTTTGAATTTACATTAGTAACTTTTTCTAGTTTTACAGTCTTAATTTCAAAACATTTTATCCATTTCAGACCAGAAAGTCGAGTGGAAATAGTTTTTGAAGAGCTGCAGTTACCAAAAGAGAAGAACAGGTACTTGAGCAAAGGACTACACGAATAAACTTCCAAGAAAAAATAAATAAAAATTTAAAACTCAAAAGCACAACACAAATCATTTTCGAAATCGAATAATAATTTGGGTTTGATTTTTAAATTCAACTGTAACACATTACATATTACATATATCCCACCAAAGTACTATTCCATATATTCCAAAAAGTAATTGCGGATTTTTTAAAAGAAAGTAAATGCATTTTTTAATAAAACTTAGAATGAACTTTAATCAAATATATAATTGCCATTTTGTTCGATAACCTTTTGCCATCTTCCTGGCAAATTTAGCATTCCACGTTCATAGAACTTCTGGCCTTTATCTGCAAAAAACTGAACCAAGTGCGATTTTATAGCCTCATCATTGCTGAAATTTTACCATTTAAGGAGTTCTGCAAAGATCGAAATAAATGGTAGTCTGATGGTGCAAGGTCAGGGCTATATGGTGGATACATCAAAAGTTCCCAGCCAAGCTCACTCAGTTTTTGGCGAGTGACCAAAGATGTGTGCGGTCTAGCGTTGTCCTGGTGGAATATGACACCTTTACGATTGACCAATTCTGGTCGCTTCTCCTTGATGGCTGTATTCAATTTGTCCAATTGTTGACAGTAAACATCCGAATTAATCGTTTGGTTCCTTGGAAGCAGCTCAAAATATACGACACCCTTCCAATCCCACCAAACAGACAGCATAACCTTCTTTTGGTGGATATCAGCCTTTGAAGTGGTTTGAGCTGGTTCACCATGCTTGGACCATGATCGTTTTCGACTAACGTTGTTGTAAACAATCCATTTTTCATCTCCAGTTATGATTCGTTTTAAAAACGGATCGAATTCATTGCGTTTAAGGTGCATATCACAAGCGTTGATTCGGTGTGTTAAATGAATTTCTTTCAATACATGTGGTACCCAAATATCAAGCTTTTTCACCAGTCCAAGACTTTTTATGTGATAATGAACGGTTGATTTTGGTATATTTAACTTCTCTCCTATCTCACGCTCAGTTACATGACGATCCAATTCGATTAATGCTTTGATTTGGTCATCATCAACTTCATTTGGCCGACCTGAACGTGGCTCATCTTTAAGTGAAAAATCTCCAGAACGGAATTTGCGAAACCAATTTTGACACTGTCTTCCTTTTAAGGCTTCATCACCATACACATCTCGTAACTTTTTAGCAACCTGCTCCGCGTTTTTTCCTTTACGGAAATAATAAAGTAAAATATGACGAAAATGCTCCTTTGTGGGCTCCATATTAAAATTGACGCCAAACAAACAAATGTAAACAAAATTTCGCGCACTTTTTTTTAAAGCAAGCTAAAAGTAACAGCTGATAACTGACAGAAGAAAGAATGCAATGAGTCACAAGCCGTTGAAAAAATTTGTCAACGCCGACTATATGAAAAATACGCAATTACTTTTTGGGCAACCCAATATTAACCCAGTTAAATGTGTCAGGTTAGCCGTAAAATAAGGCACTTACAAATTTATATTTAACAATTCACTCATTTATTCAGTTAATTCACTCCATTCATTCATTTAAACAATATTAAAAAAATACAAGCTGCAGCGTCTGTCTTGCCTGCCTTCAGTTACTCTACTTCCCCTCTCTCACCCCTTCCGCTTATCTTCAGAGTTGCCATACGCTTACACCTGTACTTTCAGTTGCAGCATGGACAAATTAACAATTTTCGATTCAGAATCGGCCAATATGAATGCAGTAATTGATGTAATTTGTGATGCGCTGCCAACACGACGCATAATTAGTTCCGGCCCTGATTTGCTAATTGAATTTAATGCCAGTTCTAATATTACAGCTAAAGGATTTCGCGGCAAATTCAAATTTATACATAATGAAATTGAAAATCCATTAGTGCCAGCAATCCCGAATGATATGACAACAGGTAAGCAAAAGTTAACAATAACTAATTTAATAAATTTTACAGCTAATATAAATGAAAAAATACGAAAATATACAGTTATACACATGTATATATATATATATTTATGTTTGCCTTCTTTTTTGAAACAAAGAGAAAATAATCGCTTTGGAAAGAATTGGCTTAATGAAAGCGACGCAACGTGCTGTACTTACTGTTGAAGAATGGGCAAAATTTTTCAAAGATAATGGTAAGTAAAGAACTTGAAATTTATTTTTATTTAATATTTCTGAATTTTTTTTTTTTCAAATAAAAAAACTACTCTCTTTTCATAATTATAAAGTAAACAATCACGCTTGAATATAGCTTTACATCAAATCTCGTGAGTTTTCTTAGGCTACTTACCGAGCCGAGCCGAGCCGAGCCCAAAGTTGATGAATGCGAGAAATACTCTTTGAATATGCATTGAAATCAATAAAAACTTGCGCTGATGCTCGCGTAGCAGAGTGGAAGTCTAGCCGAGAGTTGAAGAGCGCTTTTCAGTCGTTTATCATTATGGTTCGTTGGTCGTAATGTTACTTTAATCCATAGAGTTCCAATTTTCATCTATTCTAGGCCTATGACATATTCAAAATATTCTTGACATAACTTTTTTTTATATTTTTTATCGTTAAACTGACGTTTTTCGAAGCAAAAATTGAATAATCGAAAAAATTATGGTATACCAAATTTTGGCCAGCACCGATCAACACTAGCTAAGAGCTCGGCTCTCTGCATGCACTCTGCAAGTGGTCTTAGGGAGGGTGTTGCCCATTATTGCGGACACGCTTAAATTAAATTTATGAGCTGAAATTTTTAAGTATAAAAGTTGAGTTAAGTTGAGGCGCTGTGAGACTGCTGTCATCGCCCTCTCAAGCGTTTGAATAATTTCCTGTGCCTCAAAGGGGAACTGCCAAAAGCTAACTCAGCGGGGCAGTCGATGAAATGTTTCCCGAGAATCTTGTTTCGCGCAGATGTCAAGACTGGACAGTGACAAAGATAGTGTGGGGAATAGGAGTGAAGGGAAAGATGTTTTAATTGTTTCGTACCCAATTTTGGCCATAGCTGTCTCATTCAAGGGGTTCATCTCACGCTGGTACGTCTGCCATGTAACAGACTGGAATTTCTCTGTATACGAGTACCCAGACCATGCTAGAGTCACACGACTGTTGATGTGGTACAATCCTCAATATAATAGTAGAGATTTTATGGCATATTGACTATAGGAATATATCGTAACTGATTGTTCTGCTAACGTAAATTTGAGCAGCCACTCGACGGTCTCCATGACTGCAAAGAGTGGTAGCATCATGCTCATATTTATTGAGAGCATCGAAGAGCGGATTACACAGCCCTTTTTTCCACCGATCTTTGAGCCGTCTGTAAAGATGGCTATGGCTACCTCATCGAGAACGTTTGTGATTTCCCATTTATTTGTCGTAAAAAGAACATTGTCAAAGCACATATTGGAGATGGTGTAGTCCAGCTACTATGACACCTTTGCAAGGGATATAATTAGATTGAATGATTACGTTGCAGCTCGCTTGTAATTTGGCATACCGGTTCAGAGAGGCTGAGAAGAGTTAGTAGTGCTTTTGAGGGAGTTGATGGCAGTGCTCCTGTTACCGGGAAGTCTCTCTCCTGATGTTTACTCCTGAAAGTAATTTTTTCTGGCCAGCATACTGTTGCGGTGGTCTAACTACCACCTTATAGATCTAGTACATGATAATCGATCTTAATCCCGTTTTTTTCTTATTGCCATTTTGTAGGCGTAAAGAGCAATTATAATATTTTTCGCCCTTTTTATCGTATTCTGGCTCAAGTTGAGCTGATTCACATAAAACGGCCTGCTTGACAGATGAAACTCAGACTACGGAGCGATGTATACTTTGAACTTATCAGACATAACTTCTTTGTGAATCAGCCTTATGTTTATAGGCAAAATGTATCTACATATGTATATACAGTATGTCAAATAATTGTCTGTAAAATGAAAAAAAAAAAAAACAAATTCATTTTTGAACTTGATTTTTATTAACTAAAACAATTTTATTTAAATTATTTTTTTTTAAATAATATTAATCTGAGTAAAATCTTAACAAAAATAATGCACACAAAGTCTAGAATTCAAGGCAAAAAAGTAAAAAAGATATAAAAATTCAAAAGACAGCAAGTATTTTGTAAACAATAATCGCAAATATAATTAAAACTGAGAAAATATAGCAGTGTTGGTACTAATATTTGGTATAATGGCCACTTGCTTCTTTATAAAAGCCCATAAATTTTCTTTGGGGTTTGAGTCAGGGCTCTGGGCAGGAGTATCCATCGCCTTACTGCAATTATATAGTAGCCATGTTCTGCACGGCAATATTTTATGTTTGGAATCCTTGTCCTGGTACAGTTTGTGCCTTAGATTATTAGGGTTTTCATGGTCAACAAATCCAAATCTTATCGCACTCCTTCACAATTTGTTCTTTAGAATGTCCAAGTAAAACTCCTTCGCCATCACGTCATTGAAAATTCGGAGCTCACCAACACCTTTCAACGAAATGCAAGCCCAAACCATTACAGAAAGCTTACCAAATTTTACTGTTGGAATTGGATTTTTCTGTTGGAAAGCTGTGTTGGGTTTTCTTCAAACTTCATTTGGTCCATCATGATAGTGTAACATTATTTTATCCGCTTCTCAATATTAACTACCGATAACAATGATTTCTTTCTAGCTATTTGCGAGGAGTAGTTGTGTATTTTTAAGACTTTTTGGAGGATTATCACTGATTTGCTTTGAAATTTTTTAATGCTCGCGTCTAGAAAGTTTCGGTGGTCTACCTCCAGAGTGCTTTAACTCCAATCTGTTTTCTTTTTCTGCGCGTTTAATAATATTAAAAATCGTACTAAGCTTGATGGAAAACATTTCCGTTAATTTCTTAGCCGATTTCCCTTTGTGGTAGTTAAAATAAAATAATTAAATACAAATTTCATTGGTTCGTTTGCCAGGTGTTGTTAAAAGCGCTAAGTCTACACGATCTGAACTGTACAAAGCCTTAATCGAATTGAATGAAATAGAGCAACACATAGCTATGACGCACGCATTCACTCGTTTTCAAATTTGTGGTACCGTTAAGTTACCAACGTTTCATTTTGAATTGTGTGCGCATTTTGCAAAAAACTAATTGATACCGCAATATTTGGCAAATTATATGTTTTTTTTATTTTTTTACCATTCGGTTTTAATGTTTGTTATTTCTGTGAGTGATATTTGTTAAGAATACTTAGATTAACAATGCCCATTAGCAAAAAAGAAAAGGAAAATAAAATACTTTCATTTATAAAATGAAATTTGAAAAGCGTTTTTTGTGATTTTTTCATTTTGCAAACAATTAATTACATGCTGTATGTTTAAATAAAGATAAACTTTTATTTTTAAATAAAATTTTATTTAACGCTTCTTGATCATTTGAAAATGAAAATTATATGTAATAATTCAGAAAATGAAAATATTTTTTGAAGTTGAAAATTGAAATTCAGTAACATATAAATTTAAAAGCTCAAAATAGCAAGTTACAAATGCTATAGTAGATTCCTATAACGTTCCAGAGAATCTCAACCATTGGTTAAATGTTTCCCTAACGGTTCTGTATAAAAGGACATACAATGCGAATTCGATCAACTCCGCAACAACTTCTGGCCGAGTTTATTCTTCTTTTTGAATAATGCGTCTTGTTGCATCTCCTATTAATGAAATTTCCAAGATGCTAGCGAAGGGCTGATGATTTTTGATGAGAAGTTTCATTAGAGAAATTTAATATTTTTTAGAGTTCATTTACACATTTTTTACTTGTATGTCTGTGAGGTAACTCATACGCAACGTCATAACCGTCGCACAGTGGATTGTTTGAACAAGTTAGCGGGACAAAATTCTGGGCGGGAAATATCGTTACATTATAGAAAAATTAATTGGTTCATCTTTAATGTTAATGGTTGACATTCCCTGTCGAGGGATGACTGCAACTAGATAATTTAACTTAATTTTTCATTTAAATTAATTTTCTATAACTTTTAAATGTTGGTCGTGCAAGGATTTGAAAGCTGGCCCTCTGAATGTCGGTACATAACGCTAACCGCTCGGCTACTACGGCCACCAAAGTATTTAATGTGTTACTAATATTATACCATGAATATGTTAATCCAAGGTAAGAACTTTTTTTAGAGTATTTCTTTTCTAGTTCGTTTTATATTTTTCAACGATACATTCATAAAAGATGGCGCTAAATACTGGTATTTAGTAGGTGATTTAATAAATATTTATATCTATTTGGTTGCACCAAAATATTACATTCTCATTTACGGTTTCTGCTGAATTGAGGAAGTAGTGTTTTTTCTTAAATACTTAAATTCACCGTTCACCGTTTACCGAAATCGTCAAGCTCTGAATCATTTTAAAGGCAATCTAAATAACTCAATAAGTGAGCAGTGTTGCCAGACATTTTTTTTATTCAGAGTAGCTCCGAAAAAATACGTTAGAAGCGCTGTAATAGTACAAATTAAATATAATTGTGCCCTGCTTTCATCATACTTTCGAAGTTTGTAATTTATATTATAATTTAGAAATAATTAAAAATTATTTTTGCTTTTGAAATAAATTCATGAAAAAAAATTAACGAATCTAGTAGTTTTTGCACAAAAAAATTCATAACCCGAGAACAAATATTACCAAATAAAGGAGTTATTATTATGAAATTTTAAAATTATTCAATATAATGCGAACAAACTTTGAGCGAAAGATCTTTATTTGTAACACAGCATGAAATCTTTTTTTTAAATATCTCTGCCAAACAATTCTTTGGAAGTCTTTTTCTCAAACAAGCAACAGTTCGAGTAGTTGCCCAACTAGCCATTTTGCATACCTCCCAGCTGTACATATAAAGTAATACAATTCATATGAACAATACTTGAACTTGAAGGTGAATTAGCGATGGAAGTTCAATAACTAATAATTTGTGGGGCCTCCTTTAGCTTTTAAAACTGCTTTAAATATGATCACAAAGAGATTTAGTGAGATAATCTAGAATATCTGGAAAAAACCTGTTCCAAACTCGTTCAACTTGAGTCCAAAGTTCAACCATGGTTTCCCTTTTTTTTACAATCGTCCATAAGTATAGGCTGACCGAGCTGGCTACTCCATCACCCGCATTCGTATATTTGCCAAACAAGATTTT